AGGTTTCAAACCCCCAATGACATCAGGAATAAACATCAATGATGAAACTTACTGGCGCAACGCAAGGGTGTTTGAGAAGTACCGTTGGCGCAAATGCCCTGAAATCACATATTCAAAAAAGTTATTAAAGTTCATTCAGTTTTCATAAATTTTATTCAACTAGAAATTAAAAGAAGAGGAGATTATTTTGGTTTGATAATTATTTTCGTTCAATGTGCGAAAACGAAAATACGTGTTTGAAAAATTAGCTGTCAATTTTTTTTTTTAAATTCAACAGAAATATCATTTGAACACATCTGCATTTTATAATATTCAAAAATTCAATTTTTGAAATTTAATATAATTTACTCTACATATTTCATCGAAGAGTGAATCTATTCAATAAAATCTTTATCTTTTTTAAAAAAAATAGCAGAAATAATTTTTCGTTAATATAAAACTGTTTCTTAGAAAATCTAAATAAAATACTATTAAATTAAATAAAATAGTATTTATAGTGAAAATATTTTACTTATTTTTAAAAACAAAAATCAATCTAACTTTTTTCTTTTTTTAATGATAGATTCGTAAATTATGCTCTAAAATCTGAAAATTTGAAAATGCAAGATAAAATAGTTTCTGAATTTTTTAACAATGTTTAATTTTTAATTATTATTTAAATATCAACATTTTTTAAAGATTTTATAGAAATCCTCTTTTTTATTTTAAAACATATTTCAAACTGTTTTTTTTTTTAATTTTGTTTGGAATATTAGCAAATAATGACAATGCTGAAATAACTAAAATGAAAAGAATACGCCAATAATCCATATCCGCAGTAATTTTAAGAGATTTTTTGTTAACGAGAAAATATTAATTTTACATGTATAGGGACTAACACCTTGTTACGCAATAACCAGGTCATTTCCGCTTAAACATTCACAACTTGTCAGTATGAATGTAAAGACGTCTCTTGGCTGGCCCATGCTGTTCTGGATAATCATCCTGTGATACTTATAAATTTATGTACGTTTGGGCACCCGTAGTATTAAATGGGAATGCCACCTATTAAAATTATTGGTTAGAATACTTACTTATGATACATCTATTTAAATCTGATTGTGTAAATCTTTCTACTCATTGAAAAAAATGTGCATCAATCTCTGATGCCTGAAATTCATATCCGGACAATGATTTCGAATGCTGTATAGTTGTAAGATCTGCTGTACCAGTTATAATAGGGTACCATGAAAATGACTCGGAAAAAAACGCCTTAATAGAAAAGCATTCCCAAGATAATTGGTATTAAAATATACAGTAGTACCACCTTAGATATATTTCCCAAGAATTCCAGCGGATGCTTGAAGCAATGGATATGCTGAAACATCTCTCTCTCTCTCTCTCTCTCTCTCTATATATATATATATATATATATATATATATATATATATATATATATATATATATGTGTGTGTGTGTGTGTGTGTGTGTGTGTGTGTGTGTGTGTGTATATATATATATATATATATATATATATCTTGAGGCATATATTATTAAATTATTAAATATAACAGACAATGAATGTCTATTATGTCTGATCATGAGCCGTTCTAATGTTGGAATATTTGCTTTAATTTCTGGTGAAAAGAAAGACAAAAATTGTCCATCTTTTGGATATTTTTTTATTAAGTTGGTACTAAGCTTTCGGCTCACATGAGCCATCCTCAGAGTTGTTATATAGACATGAAACAAAGATATCCACCGTCAAAGATGATATTTTGTTATTTTGACATAGAAAATTGCTATGAGACGTTAACGGTCGCGGAATAGCAGACGCTGATCGTAAGTTCAAGATGCGGTTCTATGACGTCATCCTACGCGATACACCGAAGTATTATAACACAACCAATGTCTAGATGCAATTTAATGTGTTGTGACTAGTTTGAAATGTAATTTTGTTGGGTGTGGGTTGCTTCGTTTTAATGTAGATGGCCTCCAATATGAGAAAGTTCTTTCTACTGTGTGTATGTGTGAGTATTATTGTGTTATCAACTAATATCTGCCTTATATTATGTAAATGGCTATGTTTTTCTAAGAAATGTTGCTTATAGAACTAAGATCAGAAAGGTGACAGGTAAGTCGACGAGAGAGCGTGGTTGTAGTAAAACCAATATATGTAGCGGGTTTATTATTAGCATCAGAGATACAATCTCTGAACGGACATGCAATTTGATACACTATATTGGGGGGTTGTAGAGGATTTAATTGTGTGGTTGTAGGTTATTACAAATTATGCGGTCAATATATATATACAGGGTTCGTAAGTTATTTAAGGACAGACTTATATTTATTGAAAAACAGATATATAATAAATTGAAAAATGTTATGAGCATCAAGATAAATTATCTTTTTTATAATAAGCCACCTTCAGTTTCAATAACTGCTTCTATGCGAGATCGAAATCGAAATGATCGAATTAAATGATCCTGGTTCATATTGGACATTACTCTGACTATAGCGGATTTGAAATAATCGTTGGTGTTATGAGGATGTTCATTGACCTTACTCTCAACAACGCTCCACACGTAGTAGTCCAATGGGTTGAGATGTGGCGAGTTAGGGATTATGTAAACATCCATTCATCCATCCATCCTTGCGTTACTTGAGCTTTATGTGATAGTGCAGAGTTTTGCTGAAACATAAAAACCTTCCGTTGCGTGCACAGTCTATCCAGGGTTTTAACAATTGTTTCCAGGATCTCAATGTAAGCGACAAAGTTAACTCTAAGGCTTTCTGCAATGGCATCATATGACCTTCATTGCTGGCAACTCCAAAAACAAAGACAGTTGCCGGAAATTATGTGTGCATAATCGCTGGAACTTCAGAACTATCGGCACGTAACCATCTGTTATTTTTTCTGTTAAATTTCTGATCTTGATCAAAGTTTTTATGACGAATTTTTACGTTTGTTTAAGAACATTTAAGGTCTGATTAAACGATTTCGTATTGTTTTTTTTGTATTTTAACTGACATAAATTAACCTTTCCTCCTCACATAAGATATATAACTGATGCCTTCTCAATCGTTGTATGAGGGTTGTTCAAAAAGTAATGTTTGTTCTTCTTTAATTACAGCAGTCGTAGAAGTACGCAAAGCATACGAAACTGAACACATGTCTCAGAATTCCGATTCTACTCCTCAATATTACTTCATTCTTAATACTAGTATTGCAACTTTGAATGATGGCGTATAAAGTATCTTGAATGCTTTCTTCGCCATATGCAAATTGTCTCTTTCGCCTCTTCATCAATGGATAACCCTGGTGTCCAGTTCCAAAAACCACGCTCTGCTCCTTCATATAGCCTGTCACCATTCTGGAAACGCATATCATAATGACCTTTGAATAGAAGAATCATTAAACCAAAGACAATGCCATGGTTCACTTGAAGTTTTCCAAAATGATTTGCAATAGTGATTCTTTTATCAGCTGTAATGAAAGCATCAGCTTGTTCGGCCTTCTCACCAACTGCTGCTAAGACGGCTAAGCTCTAATGGGGACAGTCACTTTTTTTTTGTTTTTAAGGATATCACCCCAAGCAAGGCGGAAGGGCCACTAGCCCACAAGGGGTTACAGAAAGTGAGACCAAGGGTAAAGAGGTTGTTTGAGGAAAGGATATAGAGAAGGGCGTGGATAAGGATCAAGGCATCAGAAGATGTCGATTTACATTTGAATATTTGAAGATTATAGCTATCAGGGAAGCAAGTAAGTGGAAGGGGGTTCCACTGACGGGAAGCGCGAGATGAGATGGTGTTGGAGTAAAAGAGACGGCTAAATTTAACCGTTTCGACAGTGAAAGATGCCAACCTAGTAGCACGCTTAAATTCATGCTGTTTGGGAACAAGTGAAGATAGCCTGTCAGAGCAGTTGCCATGAAAATACTTGTAGAAAAGACAGAGGGAAGCCACAGCAATCTGTGAGAGAGTGGCTGTAGACGAGATTCCAGATCAGGACCTATCACATTGCATATATATCTCTGGATTTTGTCGAGGACCTCGAGATGAACAGCGGGGCCAGCAGACCCTATATGGCAGCAATATTCAATGCATGGACGAATGGTTGATTTATAAATTTGAAGCATGGACTCAGGCGAGAAAACCTTCTGGCGCGACACAGTGAACCAACTTTCCTTGCGGTAGATGAAGCTATTGATTCAATTTAGTTGTTCCACCTCAGGTCAGTGAAAAGCGTGAAACCAAACAAGCGCAAAAGAGGCGCTCTCGTGGAGTTGTGCATCAGCCATTCTGATAGGAGGCAGAGAGGGTTCTCTATGATGGGTAAAGGAGAGCAGTTTCGTCTTGGAAGCAGTAAAGTTTACAATCCATTTCCTGCCCCAGTCAACCAATGATTGTAGGTCCTTTTCGAGCCAACGGCCAGCTTGGTTTTGACAGCGATGTTGGATTTACTACTGAGGCAGGAGTAAATTGTAATGTCGTCAGCGTAGATGCCTACTTGGGAACTGATGACATCAGGAAGATCGTTGATGAAGATCAGAAACAGTGTAGAACCCAGGGTAGAAACTTGGGGAACACCAGCGTTCGTATGAAAGGAACTGGAGGGGAACCCGTTTAGGACGACCTTCATTTCACGGTTTGACAGCACTTAGGTTAGTTTCTCTTTTTTATCTAGGATTTATATTATTTCTATTGTCCTATCTCCCGACTTTACTTCGTTCAGCCTTTCTATAAATATATATCCATCTCCTGCGAATGTTTACAGCTTTTTTTGCTTGAAAAACAAAAATTCTATGCCAGTTTTTTTTTTGTTTGTTTATTTTATTTTGTTTGTTTTTGTTTTTTTTACCTGTGTCTCGATGGACAGTTATATTGAAAGATGATTCGTTAAATAAGAATGAGTATTAATTTTGGCCTCGTATACAGGTACTTTTCAAATATGGTGATATGATATCAACGAAGCATATAATAAACATTGTGTGATTATGTACGCCAATTTTTTTTTCCAGTGTCGAGGAAAATGTGGAGACTTGAGTTATCAGATTCGATTTTATTGGTGCCATTGGAGAAAAACCGACCTATTTGCCGAGAAAAACTGTAACCTAAAGCCTCGACCCATGATGAAAAGAGCATGCCGAGTACCTCCATGTAAACTCGGTAAGTTCAGACAGAATATTATTTTGAATATAAAAACAATTTGTTTGATCCTTACAGGGGATATTTCGACACTCTTCTATAAATAATAATCATGGCACATAACTGACTATCAATAATAATAGTCAGTTATGTGCCATGTGTGATACACGTTTTCGATACATGACTGACGAGGCAGAATTTTTCCCGCAGTAGGTTGCCATTTCTTTCTGCGGTAGACCAGTTTCCATCCAAAGCTATAGAACCCGGTTTGTCCTGCTATTTACCCATAGCTGGTGGAGAAGAAGATTCATACTTTTCGCAGGGGTATTAGCACGTAAGTGAATGTAATGGATTCAACTGGAATTCGAACTCGGCTCTCTGATTCCTCAATCCGAGCCGCTATCCATTACTCCACCATATTTATTGATATTCTTCTTCTTCTATGTTCCATGTCCTTTCAGGCCGTAGGTGAACACGGCACCGTGCAACTCCCTGTTCTTTGCATTCCTTAGTAAAGTTTGTCTTTTTGTTATATTTCCTAATATCTCTTCCGCCAACCATTTACATAGGTTATATGCTGTTTTCCTCTTTCCCTATTGTCTTCACTATGTCCTCTGAGTGCCAAATTTTCCAAGTCCTCTTTCCTCATTATATGTCCTATAAATTTCAATTGTCTCTTTCTCATGCTACGTATATGTTTCCTTTCGTCATTACTCACATGTTCAATCCGTGACTAATTGCAATTAAGAAAAGAATCCACATTAATTTAACCTGAAGTGACCAACATTACAGACAGCAATACACTGAATTATTTCATTCTTCTTCCACTTGCAATAATATATTCAGCTTGGTGAAGTATATTTGACATAATAAGTAAAGAGGTAGCGTAACTACGACCGTGGTACTGGGGAAGGTATAGGACGTAGATAGAAGTTAATGCCACTTGTCCGGAGTTGGTTATTGTAGCCAAAAAGACGGAGTACTCTAAGTCCGAAATAGCAAATGCTATAAGTTTATTCTTTTTTTTTTTTTTTTTTTTTGTTAGACAATAGTAGCAAGTGAATGCTGGACAGAGATCATCGATGTTTAAAATTCGTGGGCACTCACAAGAGATGAAATAATGAAACCCTCGCGACTGGCAAAAATGATGATCAACCAACGAACAGAATCATTGCATGAAATCACATAACCAATTCAACGCTGGTGTCACGCAAATTATTAACGTACACAGATGCCTGTGGTTTCGTATTCGTCGACAAACAAGGTTAACGATTATTGATATCATAATATCGGTTGCTGAACTTTAACTGGACCAGAGAAGATTACGATTGTACGATGGAAAACTGTCACCGTATTTTGAGCAGAGGGTTGCTTTCATGTGTGGAGGAGACCGCATGAGATTATAGATTCTGCTTATGAGTAGAATATTGTGCAAGTTCACGATGTGTCTGCATTGGTGTAAAGTATGTTCAGGTCTGTGTTCGCAAGAATCATTAGTGAACCTGGAGTCTCTTTTGAGATATGTGACATATACAGATATTTTTTTGCAACCGATTTTTCTTCACTTTCTAACTGGCCATGTTTCTCGATATCAGTCGTTTGTTCCAGCAAAGTAACGCAACATCCCATCATGAGCGGCTGACATAAAACAAATTCCAGGAACACTCGGCCGAAAAAAATTCTCGGAGTATATGATCTGTGTTGGTTTTTTGCTAGCAAAAGTGTTTACTAACTGTTGTTTGCGAAGAGTTTGATCAATTGAGAATAACTTAACAGAGTGCGGAGAGGAAACTTCCCGGGCCACTTCAATCTTAATTTCTTCAGGTCTAATCATCTACACATCTTCTTAGTTCCATAAAACAACCTCATTTCGTAACCTTCTACCTTAAGTTGCTCTTCAATCTTGTATTAAGTGAAAATTAAGTAAAAAAAACTTTCGTGACCCAGCATTCGCTTTCGAACAAATACCTTTGGAAATTAATGAATCCATTTCTCCTCCTCTAAGATATGATTTAATAGCAGGAGAAAATGGGTTTTGTTAACCAGTCAAGAACAACTCTGAATCCAAAGTCAGTTGGTCATGGGACAAATTTAACTAATCATAGAAAGAAAGAAACAGATAGATAGATAGATAGATAGATAGATAGATAGATAGATAGATAGATAGATAGATAGATAGAGATAGGTAGTTAGAAAGATAGAAAAAAAGAAAGAGATATAGATACATACATACATACATAAATAGAAAAAAACATACAAAGAAATACATAAATAGAAAGAAAGAAACAAAGAAACAGAGATAGATAGAATGAAACGGAGATGGATAGAATGAACCAGAGATAGATAGATAGATAGATAGATAGAAAGTAACACAGATAGAAAGAAAGAAAGAAAGAAAGAATGCGATAGATAGATAGATAGATAGATAGATAGATAGATAGATAGATATAAAATAGAAAGATGAATAGATAGATAGAAAGAAAGAATGTAACACAGATAGAAAGAAAGAAAGAATGAGATAGATAGATAGATAGATAGATAGATAGATAGATAGATAGAAAGTAACACAGATAGAAAGAAAGAAAGAATGCGATAGATAGATAGATAGATAGATAGATAGATAGATAGATAGATAGATAGATATGGATAGATAGAAAGAAACAGCTAGAGATAGATAGATAGATAGATAGATATATAGATAGATAGATACAGCTAAAAATAAATAGATAGAAATATACAGCTAAAAATAGATAGATAGATAGATAGAAATATACAGCTAAAAAATAGATAGATAGATAGATAGAATAGAAATATACAGCTAGTGATAGATAGATAGATAGATAGATAGATAGATAGATAGATAGATAGATAGATAGATAGATAGAAATATACAGCTAGTGATAGATAGATAGATAGAAAGTAACACAGATAGAAAGAAAGAAAGAAAGAAAGAAAGAAAAGAAAGAATGATAGATAGATAGATAGATAGATAGATAGATAGATAGATAGATCTAGTGATAGATAGAAAGAAACACAGATAAAAACATAGAAAAAAAAAGAAATAGAAAGAAAGAGAGAAACAAATGCATAAAGATATAGAGAAATATAGATAGAAAGATAATCATACATACATGATAATAGACAGAAACAGATAAATATATTGATAGATAGAAACAAACAAATAGATACATTGACAGAAAAAAGAATGAAAGAAACAGATAGATACTGATTTTCTAGTCGTAGCTTATATGTGGCAAAAGGCCGACAGTATGGGGTATCCAGTGAGGATCCGACTCACTTCCCAGTTGTAACCCTTTTAACGAGACAAGCTAGCTAATCATTACACCACGCAGAGGTGCCCAGAAACAAATAGATACATTGTAGATAGATTGAAAGATAAGCATAGATAGGAAGAAAGAAACACATAGATAGATAGATAGATAGATAGATAGATAGATAGATAGATAGATAGAAACAATCTGAGATAGGTAGGTAGGAACAGACTTAGATAGAAAGATAAGTAGGTAGGAACAGACTTAGATAGGAACAGGCTTAGCTAGATAGGAACAGACATAGATAGGTAGATAGCAACACTGAGATAAATACATAGAAGGGAACAGAGATAGATAGATAGATAGATAGATAGATAGATAGATAGATAGATAGATAGATATCTCTTGATGTTTTAGATGTATTTTATTGTTGTTTTGAATACAAGCCAGAGGGCTTATTCCAAGTCTTCGTGTCTTCATAATACCATTATTTAGAAATAATAATAAAAATAAACGAAAGGAGAGTTACAAATTAACTAAAGAATATAATTGAATAAAATAATAACTACATAAGTAAGCAATGACTGTAAGTCATGACTGTAAATAGACCTAAATTATTCAACCTAAACCAAAGAACTGGGAAAGTCCGGTTCCTACCCATCTCTTTATTTTAGGGATCTATAATGACATCCCGCTAAAGTAGTAATGGCATTCTGTTTGAAGAGCTCATTGAGAGAAAGAAAGAGAGATTACTTTATTATTATTTTTATCTTTTAATGTCCAATTATTTATCTACACAGTTCTTCAGTTTTCTTTACTAATTGCCTCATCTACACATCTATTTATATATGAGTATTAAACTGTCATCTTTTTATTTTAGGTGGAACAAATCAATAAAAGACAAAGGTCGACAGAAGAAAATGTAAACAACCAAAATACAAAATGGAGAATTCGTTGCCTAGTGGACGCTACAGCACACAGCCTCCTTTTCATCTCAGAAATTCTCACATAGCATATATATATATATATATATATATATATATATATATATATATATATATATATATGTTTGTGATGTGTTGATCTATATGTGCGCGAATTGCACTAAATTTTGACTAATCACAAGTCAACTTACGAGAAAGTGTGGTGCATGTGTAGTCAATGTAAATTATTATAAAAGATTCAGTTCAAAGTATGTAATCTAATTCTTGGAAATAATCAACTCAAAAATCTACCCTATGTAAAAAAAATAATGTTGTTTATGAATTCTTAAGTCCTTTGGATGATTGTATCTCCTACACTAACAATCAAGAAACAACATTAAATTCTTACTACACATGCGCCACACTCTCTCAATATATATATATATATATATATATATATATACATATATATATATTGATATATATATATAGGCATAGAAGTGGATAGACTCCGTTATGTACTGCATTTCTGGCCTATCTTTTAATGAGTTTCTTATAGTTGCTTCTTTACATCTACGGAGACGCTAGCCTGGTCAAAATGCCCAAATCAACAAGAAGCTTTATATATATATATATATATATATATATATATATATATATATATATATATATATATAT